AACTGTTAGCATGCTAGATTTTGAATATTATGGGAATAATCCCCATGCTACTTTGTCCTGTCACCAGTCAGAGAACACAGAGACCAAAAAATCTGGTAATGAACTGGTCTGTTGGTGTTAGGCAGCTTACTGGATGTTAGCCACCTGGGATGTAAATAACTGATGGTGGTTACACCTGCCTCTGGTATGCTGTGGAGACACTCTTGCCCTCCCCCTTCCTCTAGTGTTTAACCTGTTACAACTTTATCCACTTATGCATACCAAGGAAGAGCCCAGCGGTATACAGAAACTGAACTTTATTTCCCTGTTGTGGAGAAGAGAGGTTTTGGCGCTCAGGAATAAACTGTGTACAGTTGTAGCTATGGGGACCTCTTAACTTGGTGAAACAGTACCATTAATGGATAAATTGTTACAGAGACAGAGTCATCCATAATCTTCCAGGCTACCATATGAGGGTAAAACAGGCAAATCTCACTCAGGTTTTCCAACCTAGGTCAAGATTTCTGGAGTTTTACAATGCAGACCTTAATCTGCCCCATACACAGGAATATGACTTGTGAGAGCTTATCCATCCAGGTCACCATACTATACCTAGTCAGTATCTTTCTGAACACTGGGTATGGGATAGGGCTACTTCTTACCTCTAGATCTTGTCTGAGGAGAATAACTGTTAAGTTCTCCTTTTCTTCCACTAGTTCTACCTCTGTGGCTTCTGATGGCTCTGATTGGTTGTTTCTGGTTTCTCCACTGCACCAACATGGTAAAAGGCTAATTGGAAAGGGGATGGACTTAGCCCTTTCTGTCACACTGTTTCCTTAAGAAAGATGTGTCACTGAGTTCTCATGAGACTGGGTTGTGAGACTGGGTAGCTATTGTAACCCAAGACCTAGTTAGTGTCAGCACATAAGAGTGGGGAGAGGGACAGATTTAAGAAGGTGAAAGATGGGAGGGAGAGAAGGTAAAGGAACAGAAAAAGGTAGAGAAGGGAGGGAGCCAGAGGCTGCAGGGAGGGACGACAGTAGACACTATATAGGTAGGTGGGTGGGAGAGAAGGAAAAGACACTGCCAGGGGGAGGAAAAGAGGAAAAGCAAAAGGGAGAAAGGAAATGGGACCACCCCTCCCTTGCAGGTCCCCCACTTGTGTTCTCTATCACCTTGTTAGGCTCTTTTTAATAATATATCCACTATGTTGTCGAAGGCTTTCACGGCCGGAGTTACATTAGCATATCACAGCCTGGGAAACTCCTACAAGATAATGATTCAGCCGTACCCCACCTTCCTGAGTAGATATAAATTACCTGCCTACCATTTTTCTTCTCACATTGACACAGAGAGTACTCCATTTTTCTGTGTTACACCTCTGAGGATGCCAGTCACAACTCCTGGCAAAACGTCAGATACTACAATGCCAAGACCACAGCCATACAGCCTAGGAAATCTACAACTAATATATCCACTGTTTTAGAATAATTTGCATATGAAGAGCTTACAGCAAACTCTCACTCAAACGTTTATATTCTGTTCACTGATAGTGGTGTAGAACATAAAATCTTGTGTACTCTTAACCAACAGATATTGTTCTAGAAATGTTACCACCTTACTCAAAACATTCTTGCAATGATACCATGTAAGAAAATACGAAAAACCACTCAGTTAAAATATTTTATAACCCATGTATTTCATTTGGCCTATCTGGTCTGCAGTTTGTGATATTTTTTCCAAAACTGAAGGGTTTGTTGAATGGCTCCTTAATAATTTTTAATGGCTTGAGAAAAATGGATACTTGCTTCCCCAGTATGTTGAACAGCTCTGTGGAATTCTGCCTCCAGTGAAATCATTGCAAAAATTAAAATTCAGAGCACCAAGGAAATAAACATAAACCTACCTGGTGGCACCTTTGAAGACTAGCATAATTTTATTTCAGTATAAATTATTGTGTGTTAGAGCGCTCTTCTTGAGATGCAGTTAATGCACCCCTCTCCTCTTATGCTTATTCATTATTTATTTATTTGATTTGATTTGTATCCCGCCCTTCCTGCCGAAGCAGGTTCAGGGCAGCTCACATTAAAAAGTTAAAATACAATAAAACACAAATTAATTACATACAAAACACCTCATAGAATTCATTTACATTGCAGATACAATTTGCAAGTAAATACGGCTAAAGTGCTAGTGGCGCTAACTGTTGGCCATGATGTTGCAGATATAGCAAAAAGTATGGCCAAAAGATGTTACTGTTGACATCGCAGGCAGATGCTATTGTCGTGAAGGGCCTTATCCCAGTTCATATGCTAAGGTATGGGTGGAAATCCTGCAGGTTTATAAAGAAATATGCAACTTCCTGTCAGAAAATTAATTTAATTTTTGATTAAAAATTATCTTTTTCTTTCAACAGCTACTGTTGTTAGCTATTTAAATACTCAGATTCCAATGGAATTAGCTTGACTATATTTGTAGCCTGAAAAATAGAATTTCTATGCGGTGTTTGCAAGTGTGACTTGAGTAGATGAGAGCTGCTTAATGTATCATAAGTTCTGGCTTTCTTATTTAAGCAGTACAAAGAGAGGTGGATTTGTTGTAGTGCCCATTTGTTGAGTACAGGTTCTAGATTCCTTTTGAGGAATGAAAGGGATTATCCCAGGGGAGGGGAGTGTTATGTAGTGAGCCATGTGAAAGGGGGGGGGTAGTAGTTTGTGGGAAATGATGTTTAAGGGAGTTCATAAATGCGTGGACATTATGGGGAATGGCAGATGATAACACCTCAGTCATCATCCAAATTTGGATCTTCTAGTCTCAAGCAAACTTTCCAACAGGGAGCTAGGCTAAGAGAAACTTAAAGGCAGCAATGCTAGCAATCTGAATTTGTGAACTAGGTAACCAAATCAGTAGTCCTTTGGAGGAGTGCCTACTATACAAAATATCCAGTTAGGAAAGACACAATCTTTTTCTGTCTCCCTGGGCAGTGGAAGGATAATTAATAGAGTGCCTGCAGAAAATAAAATCTTACTACTCATCTCCTGCTTGGTTCTCTTCTGTCTCCCAAATATTTAGTGCTTCTTATTCCCCCCACACACACACAACCACTCCATGCTCCACTTTCCCTTGATCTTCCTGAGTTGTTTGTGCTTCACAGTGCACATGGCACAATAATAAAGCCAGAGACCTGAGGTCAGCTAAGGTACCTTCACTTCCAGAGATGAGAGTGGCAGGTACCAATGAAAAGGCCTTTTCTATTGTTGTCTCCAGGTTGTGGAACTCCTTCCGTGGGGAGATACGAGTGTCACAGTTTTTATAGCTCTTCTGAAATAACCCAAATACTTGTCCCATAAAGCCTTTGAAAATTAATTCTTAAAGGCCATTCTGTTTTAGATTTTGGCAGTTTTTGAAACTTCTTTATAGCTAATTCTGCTGCCTTTACTATTTTGTTAATTTAAATTTTCTCTGTTTTTATCTATTTGTGTTGGATGTAATTTGCTTTATAGTATTGATATTTTAGTATTCATAGCTATCTTATTTTTTTGTGAGTCACTTGGGTGTTCTGAGGAATAGAACAGTGGAGAGTATAAATCGTATGCAACAGGATGAGTGCTCTCATCTCTTCCTGTCTAACTTAGAGCTATGAAGTGTGAGGTGTGTCTTAATTATTTGTCAGTTCATTGCATGGCTAAAATTAAAAATAACAGTAAATCTAGAGAATAAAACTGGAAGCCAGAGCAAGATAAAGGGATTTAACTACCCTCAAAAGGTCTTGTACTGCTTCCTAAAGGACAGACAGGAGGAGGGATGCCTTGCTGTCATTCACAGGTAGACCATTCCATAGCATGGGGCCAGATAGAGTCTGAGCAATGGCAGTTCGTGCATTTATGATGGCAGGGGTGCACTGGCACTTTATTGAGAAGGCTCCCAGTGGCCCATTGCCCTGTTGGACCACTAATGGCCAGCAGCAAGCTAAGCCTCCGGGGCAGCTCAGACCTGGGCTGGGCAGTGGCAACATGAAATAAGTGTAGGCATGTCTATACCTTGGGGTATAGGCAGAAAATTTTGGGTGATGGGGCATTGGGAAATCCTGTGGGGCAGGGGAGCTGGGGGAGAGGGAGAGAGCTGCAAGTCTGCCCACAGCAGAGGAAGAGGACTCGGCTTGGCAGTGGTGGCCTCACTGTGCCTGTGCCAGCCCAGCCATGTGAACTGCTATCATGTGACCCTGGGCTGGCTTGGCTGGCGCAAGCGCAGTGAGGCCACCACCACCACCAAGCTGAGTCCTCTTCCTCTGCTGCAGGCGGGCTCACTGCTCTTGGCTTGAGCAGCATTTAAAAGGGGGAACTTGCCCTCTTCTGTATTTAAAAGGGGGTGCCGAGTCCTCTTCCTCAACTACTGGCATCCTTGTCTGCATGAGTCTGGAAGGAACCTCTAACTCTTTGTCTTTTGCATTTTGCAATTTTATTTTACTTTATTTTGCAATTTTCAAAACCTATTTTTTGGCCCAGAAAAAAGAAAATGAGACTGAAGCTTCCCTGACTGTGCCAAGGGTCATTTTGGAAACCCCACATACATCTTACATTTTTAAAATATTCTTTTTTAATTTTCCCCGGGGGGGGGGCGGTGCTCATCTGTGGGGGCATTGCCAGAAATGCCCGCCGTGGCTACAGGGCTGCTATACCTGCTGTTGTCATTGCCACAGCCCAAGTGTAGACGGAACAGCCCCTGCGCACTGCCAGCACCACAGGCACTACTTGAGTCAGCTTGCTCCAGGACTGTTTTAACATTCCGGTCTGCCATTGTGTGGCTGAAGGGGATAAAAGAGAACGAGCTGCTGGGAAAACTGGAGTGGTATTATGAATTTATACTGTGAGAGACTGTTCTTTAAGCATGTGTATCTGGTTTGCCTGTGGGCCATGTGGCTAGATGGACTGCTCCTGCTACAATGAACTGTCTGTTCTTTAGGAAAGTACATGAACCTTTATTTGAGCAATATCTAACATTCTATTTACATTCATTTGTAGGGCACAAAATTATGGATAATAATGGAATACTTAGGCGGGGGATCAGCACTGGATCTTGTAAGTATTCTAATTAAGTTTTTTTTAAAAAAAAATAGCTTCTGCTATTGTTAAGAGTGTGAGTCTTTTTCTCTTCCTGGTTGCTCATTTAGTTGTTACTTTTCATAATTTTTCAGTGAGGACCATTTCTACCATAAAGCAAATGTAAACATGAAGGTTTGAACGAAAGGTTCTGATTATAAGCAGTTTTACATTAAAAGGCCACATCTGTGTTTCATTCTCTGTGCACTGCACCAAAATCTGGATCCCAGAACAAGTTGGTCTTAACTTAACACGCTATTAATAATAGGTTTTTAATAGCATGCTAATATTGTACATATTTTTTTAAAAATGTAAGACCTTTAGGAAAGGGAACTTCATTTGCTTTTAATATAGAAACTTCCATGCACATTGGTGATAAAGCTCTATAATGACCACTATATCTAAAAGAAAGTTGGTGTTCTGTGCCAGTCATGAAAACAGCAAAACCATGCAGAATTAACTAAGAATTGACACCCCCCAAAATAAGAACTGACTGTACAACTTTATGTTGAGAGTAATTAAATGTCATTGTGATGGAGGGGAAAACTGACTTGCTCCAGACGTTAAGAACTTGTAGAATCCTGGAAGAGGAGATTGGGGGGGGGGGCTCCAGCTTGCTCCCTCTAAAGTTGAAATTTTAATGTTTGCTTTTCAGCAGAGCAGTGGAATGGGGCTGCCTACCAACAAGGTAGGGGTTTCTGCCTCAGGCGCGCGCGCGCACACACACACACACACACACACACACACACACACATATATATATATATATCAAATTTAACACCCCCTCCCAATGCCAATAGATGATGAACAAGAATGCTTATGGTTTTCTAAGGAGACGTAGAATGTAAAAGGTGTAATTTGAAAGGTAGAAACATTGGCCTACTCAAGCCCCTGAGAACCTTGTAGTAGCCTGAAAGAGAAGGTCCGGATCAGGGGAAAATGTCCGAGGCAATGCTTCATGGGTCCTCAACTTGTCAATAGTATATTTACATCTTTATCTTCCCTCCTCTTTTCAAGAACCTTGTGAGTTAGACAACTGTTCCTATTTTACTGTCTTGGAGAGAATATTTGGACTGAGGCTACCAAGTGAATTAGTGCCTGGGCAGGAGCACCTTTGCTTACCCAACTGGTGCAAACTGGCTTTTTTTTTTGTCATGCAACACTCTTGTTGATGCAGTGACTACAATATTCCTTTTTGTTTGGTTATAGATAAACTTGAGTGCCAGCTGTTTGCCTTGTGTCACAAAAATATATTTTAGGTAAAGCACAGAGCAAATTTTACTTCTTAGTAGCAGGAGAAAGCCTCATAAGTTTCAGAAAATAGAACCACTATCAAGCTGAAAGAGGACCCCCCCCCCCCAAGTCAACTTTAAATACACTACAATGTTTCCCTTGGAAACAGGAACTGGGAATGTTCTGTAGAAGCAAAGTTCAGTTAACACTCAGAGTTGAAACTGACTGGGCTTTTCCATTTTTGGCAGTTTAAATTTAAACTATGAAAAGGCCCATTGCTAATCACAAATGCAGTGTTCATGCTGGATGCAGCATAAGAGGGACTAAAAAAAGCAGCAAGTCCTAGGTGGTGTGTGGTTTTCCTCTATCCCCCAGTCCAGCTCCACCACAGCCCTGTAGAGTAGACCCACCCTTTTCCTGTAAGATAATACAGCTCAGTATTTAGGAGGTTCTGAAAGTTTATTAGCACTCGGCATTTTTGTATATTTCATAGCAAGCTGTGGCTGCATCCCACTAGAATTTTGCCCCTGGCTTGTGACTAGACTCTTGTGTGCAGAGGTGGTCTTCTACTAGGAACAGCATTTGTTTCAATCTTAACTGCAGTCTTCTGCTTCTCTGCGCTGTAATTTGGAAAGGACAGGGAGGAAGAAACATCTGGCTACTCCTCAGTATCAAAATACTTACGGAACAGGTTACAATTTAGAAGCAGGATGGTTGGGGTACATTCAGAACTGCATGTTTACCCATAACTGCCACACCACAACGTATCTGAAGCACTCCCTGCACAGCAAGCCTTGTGGACAGACTGCCTCATCTCACCTCGAGCATAATACTTTAATGATGTCAGTACACATATTCATCCAGTGTGATGTAGTGATTAAGAGTGGTGGATTGTAAACTGGAGAACCAGGTTTCATTCCCCACTCCGCCACCTGAAGACTGCTGGGTGACCTTGGGCCAGTCACAGTTCTCTCTGAACTCTCAGTCCCACCTAAGTCACAAGCAATGTTCCCTCTAAGCTGAGATAGTGTGAGCTAGCTCACTGTTTTTTTTAGCCTCCAGCTCACATATTTGTCTTAGCTCAAGAAGGATGGCTCCAGAGCAAACTAATTTATGCAGTAGCCAAATTGCTTGCTCACAACTTTAATGCCAGTGGCTCACAAAGTAGAGTTTTTGCTCACAATACTCCACAGCTTAGAGGGAGCATTGCTCACAAGGTATGTGTTTTGGGAAGGCGATTGTAAGCCGCTTTGAGATGCCTTAGGGTAGAGAAAAGCAGTATATAAAAACCAGTATCACTGAGTGATGTTGCTAAGTAGGTAATGTATGTGTGCACCTGACCTTATTGGTACTCTGCTGCATGGCCTCGGCCAATGAAGCCCGTGTGGCTGCAGTGCTGGTGGGCAGCTGTTCGGCCTTGGCCAATGGAGCCCCTATGGCCACAGTGCTGGCACCCGGCTGCCCGGCGTCAGCCAATGGAGCTCCTGTGGCCGCAGTGCTAGTGCCCTGCTGCACGGCCTCGGCCAATGGAGCCCCTGTGGTCGCAGTGCTGGCACCCGGCTGCACAGGCTCGGCCAATGGAGCACGGGCTCGGAAGGTCTCAACCAACAGGGTGACTGTGCATGTCAGGTCACAGTAGATAACTGTGTTAAGTCAGTGTGACAGCCCTTATGTAACAAAATACTATGGCTCCTATTTAAAGGGCACAAAATTATGGATAATAATGGAATACTTAGGCGGGGGATCAGCCACAGAGATATTAAAGGTGCACATACCTTTAAACTAGTGTGAGAGTTCAAACTTCAGACCATAGTTCCCTTTTGTTTTTAAATTAGTTTTTGCGCTTGAAAATCCACAGAGATCCTCAAGCTGCCAACGTGTTGTTATCGGAGCAAGGGGATGTCAAGCTTGCAGATTTTGGGGTTGCTGGGCAACTTACTGATACGCAGATTAAGAGGAATACCTTTGTAGGCACACCATTTTGGATGGCCCCTGAAGTCATTCAGCAGTCAGCCTATGACTCAAAAGTAAGACTCTTTCTATTGGTTTGTGCTCATGAATCACTTGCTTATTTTGCAAACAATGCTTTTTAAAGATTTCCGTGTTCATGCCCACTTGCAGAATCTGACAGCTGTACAAAATAACGCTGAAGAATATGAGCTTTTGACATGTTTTGTATGTGTTCAATATTTAACATCTCTAACCCTAATGACTGCAGAAAAAAATTCCAAGACTGCATAAAACTTCTGTTACAGGCACAAAAACCAGAGCCTTTGGGGTTGTGGGAGCTGTCACCTGTTGCTTTGTCCTCTGTAAAGTGAACCCTAGTTATTCTTAAGTCCATCCCCAAAACTTTTTCTAAACATCTGTAAGCAAGAGGGCCTGTATGCAAACTATACGCATGTTTCTTAAGTTCATAGTTTCAAGCTTTCCTCTTACTACACTACAGAGCTGTAATAGTTTCCTTACTGGTCTTCCTGTTGAACTACTTTTTGCAGGGCATAATCACACCCATCTTGTTTTTTCCCCCAGAGTGAGCACTTCCACAATTTGTTATAAGCATGACTGCAAATAATATTAAGCAGAAGAGACTTTGACAGTAACTGGGGTGAACTGACTGTTGAAATACACATGATGTTATAGACCAATAGATCTCTGTCATTGCCTCAATGCCCACAGAGCACAACGTCCCTGCTTTGTGTGCATGCAATGTGTCATTTCATTTTTGCTTAAGCCTTGACATTTTTACCAGTTTTTTGTTTAAAGTGGCAGCACTTTATAATTGCAGTGTTATCTTTCTTCCCTTGCAGGCTGATATTTGGTCTTTGGGGATCACAGCAATCGAACTTGCCAAAGGAGAGCCACCCAACTCAGACATGCATCCAATGCGAGTTCTGTTTCTCATTCCCAAAAACAATCCTCCAACTCTAATAGGAGAGTTCAGCAAACCCTTTAAAGAGTTTATTGATGCGTGTCTAAATAAGGACCCAACATTTGTAAGTGTTGCTTCTAATTCTGCTTCAGTTTTTTTGGAAATCACAGCACTAGTAATGAGTGATGATTTTTCTATTAAACAAAAGAGCAGGTGAAATGAGTTCTTGGAGCTTTTGAAGTATACAGCATTTTTCTTTAGGGAGGCATATTTGGAGTGTACACAAAATGCAGTTTGGTCAAACAGATCTTTGCAACTTGGTGTTTTGGTGCTAGATCTAATGTATTGTGAGAACTTGTGAGATGTTCTTTTAATTCAGAGACTGAGAGGAAGAAAAGGAAAGGTTGCCTAGGCTAAACCACTTGCACCCCCAAGGTCAGTCTCCTGAACTTGTAATAACACATCACCAGGGGTTTTTTTGTAGAAAAAGCCCAGCAGGAACTCATTAGCATAATAGGCCACACCCAAAAGCAGAAATTCATTAGCATAATAGGCCACACCCCTGACAGCACAGTTTTTGGCATATTAGGCCACACACCCATGTTACCAGAAGTGTGCTCATCCAGCCACACCCACCTTTTGCTTCTTATTCTGTTTACCTTGTTTGTTGTCCAAACCCAGGGCTTTTTTGTAGCAGGAACTCCTTTGCATGTTAGGCCACACACCCCTAATGTAGCCAATCCTAATGAGTTCCTGCTGTTGGGTGTGGCCTATTATGCTAATGTGTTCCTGCTGGGTATGGCCAACTTGGAAGCCAGCCGGAACTCCGTTCCTGTGCGTTCCTGCCCAAAAATAGCCCTGCACATCACAATGAGTTCTGTCGGATATATGTTAAGCTTACATTTCTGATATGGCTTTAGTGGACACAGTTACTGCAGATAACTTCTGTGACATAAGAAAATGGAAGGGCTGTGAATTATGTAGAGCTCTTGAAGAGGCAGAGTAGACAGCCAGCTGGGGTTACTTATTCCTGAAAATATCACCCTGCCATCTAATTGCAAAGCTCACTTATTTACTTTATTTATATCCTACTTTTTTCTCAGTGGGGACCCAAAGTGGCTTACAAGAGATGACCCAGTGTAATGCCTGCAATTGCCAAAGCTGTGTCCAGTGTAAATTTTTTGTCTCTTGCAGCGTCCAACAGCAAAAGAACTCCTAAAGCATAAATTCATTCTGAAAAATGCCAAGAAGACCTCTTACCTGACAGAGCTTATTGATAGGTTCAAGAGATGGAAAGCAGAAGGACACAGTAGTGATGAAACAGATTCTGATGGTTCTGATTCGTAAGTCAGGGTTGGGCAGGGGAGAGTTGAAGGGATGGGTTCAAGGGTGCAGATTTTGTGATCAGGAGTGTAGAGTTCAGCACTTGAAACAGTGTTTTGAATAATTTGTGTGAGTAGCTGTGTTAAGTTTAAATTGGTTCTGGAAGCCAACTAGAAACCTGTATTAAGTTTTCAGTTGGCAGGCTAACCTTCTGAGTTTTGCAAGCTTAAACTCCACAAGATCTAATGTTTTAGTGCCATCACGACTTCAGTAATGAACGTCTCATCATAGCACCTATTGGATTGTCACTGTCCTTGTCGCTGATCAAACGATAGCGTTCAGTTAGCAGTCTTCAGTGTACAAAGTGTATTGTAGACCTTGGCCAGAGACAAGAGTGCCATATATAGATTGGGAGCAGTACCCAGTGTGGCACAAGAACCAATTTGTAATTTTGTTGGAATCTACTTCAGTTGCTGTATGAACAGCAGAGAACTTGGTAGATAGAGATATAAAAATAAGCACTTCACATGTCTGTATAGGTCGTTCTGGATTATAGCCCTTATTTAATTTTTAATTACTGCATATTTGTTCTTATAAGTAAGGTAGATTAGGCTGGGTGGGTGTGACTTTGTCCAAGGTCACCCTCTAGGCTTTCAGAATGAACCTCTCCCTGCACAGCTGTGAACTGTATGGTATGGAATGTGTGCATGTGTGTGTTACATAGCAATGTAAATGTTTCTTTCTTTCCTGTTCATTTCTCCACCCTTTTTTGGCCAGAAACAATTAACAAAGCAATACCTTTTACATCAGATAGAGGCATTAAGGCTTTAAGGCCAAAAAAATTGCTTCTCCCCTGCAAAGAAAATTTAGCAGTCATATGTGAACTGTCCATTTTCAAGGCAGATAAGGTGCAAGCTGCATAGGGTGGACTGAGCTAGAGACAGAATCCCTGTTATGGTGTAAAAATTCATCGCACTTGCTATCATCCCTGCCCCCAGCTGTTTGCTGTGTTAGTCTGCTAAGAAATTTATTTTTAAAAATATTTTTTGCAGACTGGGGGTGAAATACTACCCTGTTATCTAACCCTTGTATTTTTGCCCTCATTGGAATGTGGATTGCAGCTTGCATTTTCCACAGTTGTGCCCTGTTCCCCGATAAGAAAAGGCCCCAGAAGTGGCTTAAAACTGGGAATTGATTTTAAGCTTTTAACGGCAACTTAGATTTGGCTGCAGACAATATGCACATTTGGTTGTCCCTCTAACAAAACAATCTAAAGTTGGGAGTTGAAATTTGGTTGTAGTATTATTTTCTTGGCCAGTATGCCACAAAGTCTACTTCAGCCTCACACCAAATTGTACTTGGAAAGTATTGTATCAGTGTATAGTATCTGAAGTCTTTAAGTTATGCAAAAGCATGATATAGCAGCGCAGTTCTCTAAACAGTTTGTCTCCCTCCACCCTGTAGGGAGTCTAGCAACAAGGAGAATAATTCTCACCCAGAGTGGAGTTTTACTACAGTTCGGAAGAAACCAGATGCCAAGAAACTGCAGAATGGAACAGTACGTCCAGCCAGAATCTCTTTCTATTCCCATGACTTCTTGGAAGCGGTGACAGAGTGCTAACCACTGTGCTTCTGAAGCAAAGTCGAATGTCATTTTCCCTCCCCACTGCTGTCTGGTAATATTACTTCAGAGCAGGGGGTTGGCAGAATTTTTGCTGTCCCTTGCCTTGGCAACCATGAGAAGTAGAGCATCATCATCATCATCATCATTCTGAAATCAGTGAGGATTCTCAGGATTACAAAAAGAAATCACACTGGGCAATGAACAGTCATTGGGTTTTGGTTTTTTTTTGCATTTGTGTGTGTGGACATGCATGTGTGCCCATGTCTGGAAGTCATGGTGACCTCTGGTGACTCCTACTGGGGCATGGAGGACATTCAGAGACGTGGCTTGATAGCCTGCCTGTGCCTTCTGGGCCCTGGTATTCTTTGACGATCTCCCATCCAAATACTTGCCAGGGTCGGCCCTGCTTAGCTTCTGAGATCTGATGAGATTGCGCTTGCTTGGCCTAGCCAGGTCAGAGCTAGAGTCATTGGGTTTCATGCAGTTTGTGTTCATCAGTTCTACTGTAAAGTTTGTTAAAAAGACAGTATTTATCACTGTAGTTATTACAGTGATTTAAGCCATATTGTGTTCCAGCTGTACTTAAAGCCACACAGCAGTTGCAAGTCCACAAGTCTGCTATGCTCTGGTACCTCACTGAGACAGCTGAGAGTTTGTTGTGAATACCTACTCCTTTGTTTTTCCACTTGCAAAAATCATTGCAATGGTGTAAATTGATTGGGTTGGCTGTTGCTTATCTGGGATATTTCACTGGAAAGTTTGGGGGAGATGAACCCTTGTTCGTGGGGGTTACTGAACTGATTGAACTACTGTTTTGCCCTGGATGGCTGTCTCCACTTCTACCGTAAAATCTCTTGATGCAATAAACTCTGCCTTATGCAAGTATGATTTACCAGTTCTGACTCAATATAAGGTAGCTTTGTGCGTTTGTGTTTATACAGCCCAGTGCCATTATATGCCTGCTTGGATGCTGGCTTGCATGAGAACAGGGAGTGGACCCCTTGTTTAGGAAAATATCCTTCTCCGTGTTTCCCAAAAGCTGTTTTGAACCACAAAAAAAAAAAGCATTTTTTTCTTTATTTTCCAGGACCAAGATCTCATGAAAACCCTGAGCTGTTTAACAATGATAATCACACCTGTATTTGCTGAGGTAAATTTTGGTTTTGTGCATGTCCAGAGCATATCCAGTAAGTTTATAAAATCCTGACAATATGTTGATTTGTTTCCCAGCTTAAACAGCAAGACACCAATAATGCTAACAAAAAGAAAGCCATTGAAGAACTTGAAAAAAGCATCAATATGGCAGAAGCTGCATGTCCGGGGATCACAGATAAGATGGTGAAGAAACTTATGGAGAAATTTCAGAAGTAAGTTTGCAAGTTTCATTTCTTAACTGTGGGGTATCCCTTAGAGTATTTCTGCACTGTTGATTACTTCACTTCCTGTTTGTTGTGCAAGTCTCAGAGGTACTGGGACAGCACAGTGACAGCCTAAACGAAGGGCAGGTGCATGTACAGCTGGATTGCTGCATGAATGAAGTGGGGAAGGAGGAGGCAGAAGAATAGTTAAGTGTGAGCAATGAGTTCTAAGAACTGACAACACTATTCAGTGGATGTGATGGATGGCAAACACTTCCTTCTTGTTTTTGTCTCGTTTCAGGTTTTCTGTTAATGACTCCTCCTAAGAAACTTTGTCACTGATTGCTGTTCCACACGGACCCAATATAGCCCACCAAAACCTACTATAAGCTTGGCAATGCTTTGCTCATGAGCTCCTTGTGCCTTTTTGGATCATTGCAACATATTTAATGATCGGGGATTTGAAAGGACTTACCTCCACTCTTTTGTGATGGGTATACCTGCTTTTTTTGTATTTCCAGGACATTATTTTGTAAAGAGCAACTTTTAATATTGTAGTTTTCACCTGTTTAAACCAATTTAAAAAAAAATGGTGAGGGGCAGTTTTTGCTTCTAGATCTAACCAGGGGCTACCAGTTGCCAATCTCAGCGTGCAGAATCTTGGGTGTGCCTGTTGCTCCAGATGTCAGCGGACTGCACCCCTTTTACTTGAGTTCATAGGAAGTACACATGCAGCAACATTTTGTTACTCTCCAAAGAAGGGGATTTACCAGTCTTACTATTATTATTATTTGGTATGCATAAGTTATAGCGTTTTCCGAGTCAACTAAAATTAGACTTTAAGAAGTAGCTTTTCACAAGAATATATGTGAGAGCACCTTAGACTGTAGGATGGTGCTCCAGCACCTGCTTGAACACTGTAGTCTGTCTTTAGGCCCCTGTAAATGTAATAAACCGGCAACAATATCAACTATTTGAAACCTGGTACAGTATTTTAGGCAGCTCTTTGATCACCTACATTTGAGAGCAATATGTCAATAGCTTTGCAAGTTCACATGTAGCAACTGGTATAGCTTAGTGTACAGTTTGTATGTAGTCTCTTTTAGGGCAGGGTCTCAAGTCATCATTCATCATGGTAGGAAATTTTAAAGCAATACAGTTGAAGGGCAGGAGGGCTCCTGGCAATAATGGGCGCAAATAGAAATCTGGTTTAACGGAATTATTTCTTCCTTTTTGAGTAATTTTTTTAAAGAAGCAGAGTTCATTCTGTGTTCAAGGTCAGGAAACTGGGAGGGTGCCATGGCATGTGATGATAAGTACCTCACAAGCAGGTATAAAATGTGACACCAGCGTTTTGTGTGGCAGTGTTTTTCCTGTAAAATATTTATAACACTTACATTCTTAAAGTACGTTACATACAGTGCATCGGCCATGATATGTTTAATTGCCCCCAGGTGTATTTTAAATATGTATTTACCAGTTAATATGCAAATAACTGAGTTATAGATATTCTTTCACAAGAAGATAGTATTGTGCAGTACAGAGTGATTTTTTTTTCATAAAAGGTAAATGAAATTATAAACTTGCTTTCAGTTATATATTTATGGTACTGTTTAGATGGGTAATACCCTTTTCTTTCTTTATTTCCCCTTCCTTTCGACCCAGTATGTATATTATGCTGAAGTTTGAAGTGGGGTTGTATTTCAGTCCTTAACTGTGGAACTGTTGGTGTAAATTTATTTTTGATAAAAAGGCTGGATGTGTTTAATTTTATGGTTTGGATATGCACATTTTTGTTTTTGCACAAAAGTCATTTCAAAGGATTTGAAAAATATCTGCCAAATATTGAAAAGAGTTAATGGTGTGCAAGCAAATAATGATTTTTTTTTTAGTTAAAAGTTGCCATTGCATCCTTTTTTTAAAAAAAAGATATAAAGACACTGGCGAGAGATGGTGGTTAGAAATGCCAAGGGCAATTACTTTCAATGGTGCCTACACTGTAAAAAATAATAAAAATTACTTTTAACTCCTTTGTTTTAATTTTAAAGAAATGTTTGTTAAAAAGAAATCTTTCATCTGCTATATAACTGAAACACAATTAGAATTTATATCTGAGGGAAAAAAGTCTGGACATAGTTTTTGAAAATGATAATGTTATGGATTAAATAAAAATATTTTTATAAAAGTAAAAGCAGTAAACGTTGTAAATACAGTTGATCTGAAGCTTTACAGAATAACTGCATCACCGAAGCAAAATTATAGTGCTCTTCTTTGTAGCTGTTAGTCCTGTAAATCTGTTTATAGATGAAGCTTCTTTCAATGTTTTTTTTTGGGGGGGCAGGGCAGCAGAGGTTGAATGGTTTAAAAAAAATAAATATTTAAGTTCTGTAAACATTTGTGGTCCTAATTGTCTGATACCATACTTTTTAGTTCTTGTTGTGGAAGGAAGAAGAGCATTCTGTCTTTTGTGGATACCTCTCTAAGGCAATTTCACATTTTTAGAATTCTACTCTGATTGCAAATTGTTTTCAGCTTCCAGTGACTTTGCATTGGGGGACCGGTTAGAAATAAATGATGTCAAATGGCTGTTATATGCCCAACCACACCCTTTCTGAAGTCTCTTGTCAGCAACAGATATGTATATTTTCATTCCTTAAATTCCAGAATTGGTAGTATACCGTCTCTGATAACATTTAACATTCTCACAGATACTGCCCATAATCGTGGCCAGAGGAGGCCTCATTTGAAAAAAAGGTTGCATGCACCTATCACTTCCTTTAGGTACCCATTCTGAAAGGAGAGGAGGGAATGCTAAAGAGCTGGACCCCAATCTGGAGTCACCCACCCTTTTTAATTTTTTTCATTACATGTTTTGTCACAATGATCAATGACTTGATGCTAGCGGATTTGTTTGTTCCCCAAGCAGTAAACTCAAGCACCTCCGTGAAGCTGACTATATCGCCTTCACATAACCTTTCCCCTTTCCCCTCCATTAAAAAAAACAAGTACTGATGTATAGGTTTCAGATCGCGCTGCAGCAGACCCTTCCACTGAATTTTTGTCATACCTGCAAAACCAGTTATACCAAGAAAGGAACCTCCTTTTGTTCTATATCACTGACCAGATCAACTTAGCTTAAACCCAGTCCTGTTACTTTTAAGTGCAGTAACTGGATGCTCCCAGTGATGTCCTATCCTCAATGCTGGCAGTAGCAAGGCAAATCTCTTCATCCTCTTCCTCAAGCTGGAGGCTTCCAGAAGAAAGACGAACCCTTGTTCTGGGTGCTTTGACCACTCTGCCATAGAGAGAATAATAGTCTGGCAAAAGGTCAGAATCGGAGTCGCTGGACTCCGTCCCGCTACCCACATAGCATTCAGGTGTGCGCTGGACTCTGGGAGCTTCTGGAAATCTTTGCTGGGCCAGCACATATTGTAGAATGTCAGTCTTCCTGCTAGTCAAGACGGGATATGGCCCTAGAGGTCGGAACTCTGAGCCGTAGGGGAATCGGATAGTTTTCATATCAGATTGACTCCAGGATCTTTTGGGAAGCTGCTCCTGGCTGCCATAGTCAAAAACACTGATCTCATCATCTTCCTGCTCCATGCTGACACTGCTAAGGTAGCTACTTCTGGATGGAACCTCTGGCTCAAATGCACTTGTTTGTGCCATATCTGGGCTTCGCCTCAAAGGCTTCATAGGTGCCCTGACAGGGATGTTCACTCCTCTAACTCTTTCCTCAGCAGGGCCAATGGCTGCATGCCTTGTAAATTGGGGTGGCCTGTCCACGTAGAAGAAGACTTCAGGTGGAGCCACATCAAGTTGCTGATCGATGGGTGCCATGTAGGGCACATCTGTGTACGTTAGCTGCCTTGGGGTCACTTCTCTCATGTTGCCAACAGATGTGCTTTTGCTGTTCCCAATGAGCTTGTAGTCTGGCTGGAAGGAGGTCAGTGGAATTCTTTGTTCATAGATGTCGGACGGTTCCCACGCATGTTCTGGTTCAGTGTAGACCAGCGGGAAGGCAGAGCTGCTTTGGGAATGGTGCAGCAGTGTAGGATCTGCTTCAGGCTTGGACCGCTCTAATTCAGCAGTGAAAGTCACTTCCACTGCAGAGTTCCTGCGCCTGCTGTCTAGCATGGGCTCAGATGTGTGGACTCCGTTGGCATTGTGATAGCCCCCTATGGTGCCATAAACCAGCCGCAAGTCCTCCATCTGAAAGGAGAGCAACAGATGAGGTGTGATTGTGCTGTGCTACCCTTTTATTACAATACTTAGGCTAGGATTGCACATTGTATGTAATTTCCCCAAGGGATTGTGTTATACAGCAGGGAATGACAAAGCACTGCTCTGTTCATCATTAAAGTAAGATGGGTTTATTTATTTATTATTTATTCATTTGATTTATATTCCGCCCCCCCCTGCCAAGGCAGGCTCAGGGCAGCTTACATAAAATTTGACAAGTAAAACAACAATGATAAATACAGCTCTAAAAATAAGACTTAAAGTACCAGTATCAGTTTATACAGCGATGGCGAGGTAGTAATAGCAGCAGATGTACTAAAAAATACAGTCAGTGGTGGTTATTGCAGTTTGGCAAAGAATAGGCTATTGATGGTGGTATTGGGCACAGGGTCTCAGTTATCCTTAACTAAAGGCCTGGTGGAAGAACTCTGTTTTACAGGCCCTGCGGAACTGTACAAGGTCCCGCAGGGCTCTAGTATCTTCAGGGAGCTCGTTCCACCAGCACAGAGCCACCACTGAAAAGGCCGTGGCCCTGGTTGCTGCTAGCCTGGCATCTTTAGGACCTGGGAGGGCCAGACGGTTTTGAGACCCCGACTGTAGTGCTCTCTGGGGAACATGTGGGGAAAGGTGGTCCCTCAGGTAGGTAGGCCACTGACCATAAAGGGCTTTAAAGGTAAGCACCAGCACCTTGAAGTGAATCCGATACGCTATAGGCAGCCAGTGCAATGCTTTTAGAGCAGGCTGAATGTGCTCCCGCATGGGGAAGCCCAAAAGCAGCCTGGCTGCTGCATTCTGCACCAGCTAAAGCTTCCGGATTTGGGACAAGGGCAGCCCCATGTAGAGAGCATTACAGTAGTCCAATCTCAAGGTGACCATCATGTGGATCACTGTCGCCAAGTTGTTGCATTCGAGGAAGGGAACCAACTGCCTAATCAGCCAAAGATGATAAAAAGCTGACTTAGCAGTAGCTGCTACTTGAGCTGCCATCATTAAGGAGGCATCCAAGAGCACTCCCAAGCTCCTAACCTCTGACATTGACACCAATGGCGCCCCGTCGAAGGCTGGGAGTGGGATCCCTAACCCTGGGCTGCCCTGACTCAGGCACAGGACCTCCGTCTTCGTCGGATTCAATTTCAGTTGGCTCAGTCTAAGCCAACCAGCTGTCATGAGCGACGACAATGGCGCTGAGTCCCCGCCCGAGTTGGCATTGCAGCCAGAGGTGCCGGCATTGCCAGAACCAGAAGCCAGCCCCTCTGACTCCTCACAAGTTGATAGCTTGCCAGTGCCTGAGCCTGTAAATCCCGCACCTGGTCCTGCGGCAGCCGAAGAGGCACAGGTGCAATCAGGGAGCCCGCCTGACTCACCTCTGCAGGTGGTTCAGCTAAGGGAGCGGCTCCACAAAGATTTAGCCACCCGCCATTCAGATGCACACTGGCAGGGAAGGTGAGCACCAAGTCCTGAGTATTAGCAGGAGCGTCGCCGCCACCATGGGAAGCCCGGCCGGAGGCCTATATAACTCCCACTTGGCATTAGTCTCTCGTGGAAACAACGAATCGCCTCCGTGCATGCCTCGCATCCACCTTCGACTCCTGTCCTCGGACCCCCACTCTGGCTTGGATTCCTGGCTTCCTGACCCCTGCCTTGGTCAACCCCTCTTTTGGACTCACGATTTGGCTCTTGCTCTGACTCTTGGCAATGACCTTGGACCAGACTTGACTTCTGCCTCTCAGCCCAAGCCCAGCCCATGACACCAGCCATGACCTGCAACGCCAGGTCCAGATCTCCCAAACTAGAGTCAGACCGGCCGCCCAACAACAGATAGAGCTGGGTGTCATCCGTGTACTGGTGACACCCCAGTCCATGCCTCTGGGCAAGGGGGTGCATGTAGATGTTAAATAACATCAAGGAAAGTATTGTCCTTTGGGGCACCCCACAAACTAGCGAGTGCCTTCAGGACAACTGTTCCCCTAGTGCCACCCTTTGCCCCCGACCCTGTAGGAATGAGGAGAGCCATTGCAAGGCAGACCCCTGAATCTCTGTGTCGGGGAGGCAGTGAATCAGTAGTTGATGGTCGACCGTGGCTGGAGTTAGACTGGCCTTCCAACAACAGTCCAACAACAGCAACACTGCCAAACCGCCCCGATCCAGATGCCTCTGAAGGTTGTCTGTGAGGGTGAGCAGTACTGTCTCCGTCCCATGGCCTGTCGGAAGCCGGACTGGAAGGGATCTAATATGGAAATGTCATTCAAGAAACCCTGCAGCTGATTTGCCACCACCCTCTCAATTAGTT